TCGTCCCCGTGCGCGCTCACCGTCACCTGAGCCAGCACGACACCCAATCGGAGCGTTCTCGAACAACAATCCGTGTCGGAATATAATTACATGCATTATATTATAACTGCCTGTAGTGTAGACTTAATGTAGTTCTAAACTTGTTTGGTGGTGCACCTCTCTTTTCCTTGCATATATGTTTCCAACTTTCTACAGTGAAACCCTCCTTTTCTCGATTTTCTTCTCTTGCTTGCCTAAACTCTCTCGACATCCATGCCTAGTCTCAACCGTAGCATGGCTCCTAGTCTCACACTATAGTTACTCTCTTGACATGCTATCAGAGTGAGTTCCTCCTCGGACCTGCCTCATTGGGCCCACCATTTGCTTCTGCTAATGCGCCACCCTGCTGCCCGTCGCGCGCCCCGAGCGCCCGTCGATTTTCTGCCCATCGCGCGCCCCGGGCGTGCGTCGATTTTGTGCCCGTCGTGCGCCTGCTCGTCGTGCGACCTACTGTCGCCCACGCAGCCCCTACACCGCCCCCCCGCCCCCCCCCTTCTCCTCCATCCCCTTGCTGATCGTACAGCAGAGGGGGAGGGTATGGGGGTAGCGGGCGGGGCGCACGACGGATTCCTGCTCGTCGCGCGCCCTCCTGTCGCCCGTGCAGCTCCTAAACCGCCCCCCCGCCCCTCCCCCCCCCCCCTCCTTTCTCCTCCATTCCCCTGCTGCGCGTGCAGCAGTGGGGGGGAGGGTATGGGGGTGGTGGGTGTGGCGCACGACGGGTTCCTGCCCGTCGCGCGCCTGGCTGTCGCCCGAGCAGCTTCTACACCGCCCCCCCCGCCCCCCTTTCTCCTCCATCCCCCTGCTGCGCGTGCAGCAGTGGGGGGGAGGGTATGGGGGTGGCGGGTGTGAGTAGTCAGCCGCCCACCACCTCCTCCTCTCTCTCCCTGCCGCACTTGTCGCTGTGTCGGGAGAAGGGGGGGAGCTTGGAGGTTAAGGGGGTGGCAGGAAGGGATCTGCAGCACCAGCCCCCCTGCCCCCCCCCTTCTCCTCCATCCCCCTGCTGCGGGTGCAGCAGTGGGGGGGAGGGGATCTGCAGCACCAGCCCCCCCCGCCCCCCCTTCTCCTCCATCCCCCTGCTGCGGGTGCAGCAGTGGGGGGAGGGTATGGGGGTGGCAGGTGTGAGTGAACTGCTGCCGCCTCTCCTCCTCTCTCTCCCACTGCTGCACATGCCGCTGTGGGGGGGGGGGTAGGGTGTGGGGGAGATGAGGGAGTGGCGGTAGGGATGCGGAGGGGTGTGAAAGGGAGGTTGAAGGGGGATGGACGCTGTGAAGCCAGCATCTCCAGTCGCCCGTGAGACTGTTGCGCCAGTTGCCCTTGAACCCGTTGCTCCTGTCGCCCATGAGTCAGTTGCTCCTGCCGCTCGCTTAGCCGCGGAGCCAGTTATTCCAGTTGCCCATGTGCCAGTCGCTCCATTTGCAGTGTGTCAGTTGCTCCAGTTGCTCGTGTGTCAGCAGCTTCAGCCGCCACCCACCACCTCCTCTCCTCTCATGGTCCCTCCTCCTCTTCAATTGCCCTCTCCTTCCTCCGCTGCGCCTAGTGTACCCCTTCAGGGGGTGTTTTGCACATGGTTCTTCACTACAGGAAGTTAGGGGGTGTGTCGGAATATAATTACATGCATTATATTATAACTGCCTGTAGTGTAGACTTAATGTAGTTCTAAACTTGTTTGGTGGTGCACCTCTCTTTTCCTTGCATATATGTTTCCAACTTTCTATAGTGAAACTCTCCTTTTCTCGATTTTCTTCTCTTGATTGCCTAAACTCTATCGACATCCATGCCTAGTCTCAACCCTAGCATGGCTCCTAGTCTCACACTATAGTTACTATCTTGACAATCCGTTCAGCACGCGCCACGACTTCACCGACGGCAATGAACAAGACTGGAATCTCCCAGTCTCGCTGCTTGAAAGCCCCCCGCACGTACCTGATACGCGGGCGGCACCTATCGATTGGATCGCGCGCGAACAGTTTCTAAAGGTTGACACACCACACATCGTTACTCCGCGACTGGCGCTGCTCACACGTAACGACAACAGGTGCTACAACACGTGGTACCTGGACAGCTGCTGTGGGCAGCACATGGTGGGCTCCGAGCGTTACATATCCAACGCCGTCTCCACCCCCACCGTGATCTATGTCACCGTGGCAAACAACACACGCCTGCACGCAAGCGCGCAAGGAATCGTTGTGCTCAAGGCCCGAGGGAGCCGGACGCACATCACGCTGAACGATGTGCTGATCGTGCAGAATCTACGCTTCAATCTACTCTCGGCGGTGCAACTCATGGACTGCGGGGTCGACCTCAGCACCGACCCCAAGACACGTGACATTCTGCTCCACTTCACGATGCCGAACAAGACGCGCAAGCAGATCAGACGAGCGCACTCCGAAAACGGCGTCTACATCCTTGACTTCAGTATTCTCGACTGCAGCAGTGCTTCGCAGGAGCTCATCGATCTCATCCCCCTGCGCTTCGAACAAATTCACCACCGCGACTTGAAACACCCAGACGGACGACCGTGGGTGCCGCACCACCCTCATCCGTGCGAGTTGGCACTGCATGACCCCGACCCTGACGGCATCTGCAGAGATTGCCACACACCCACTGCCTCAACGAGCGCGATTGCCGGCCGTGGCCTTGCCGCCATCGCCGAAGCAGAGCAGGAAGCACCGCGTGCAGAAGGACTGTCTCACCTGGAGCTCGAGACCGCCACGCGCGCCGTCTTCGGAACGGAGGAACATCCCCTCCCCGGACCTGCATCACAACATCTTCAGGGTATGTTGCTTGGCGTTGGTGTCGGCACCTTTGATGCGCACAGATTCCCGCGACCCTACACAAAGGAGAAATTTATGGAAATCTACTCTCACCAGCGCGACTCTACGAAGAAGCTTACCGTGGTGCAAGAAGAGGAACTGACGCGACACGAAGCGAAAGAGCTTCGCCAAAGGAGCCTTGCAGAGTCGCGCGGCACATTCGCCTGGAGCGGATGGAGCGAAGAGGAGAGCGCCTCCAATGAAGGGGGGTGGGGAAGCGCTGGCGGATGGGGCACGAGCGACACTGGCGGATGAGGAGCCGCAACTGGCAGCAACACCGGCGGATGGGGAGCCGCATCTGGCGGCGAGCAAGCGGGTGGGGCACTTCCGGCAAAGGCTAGGGGGCTTCCCGCGAGGACCAAAGGGGGGAAGAAGAGGAAATTGAGGCAGAACCTCCAGTTGTTCCTCTTGGTCGCCCTTCGCGCCGCGCTGCTCCTGTACTACCCCCACCTGACATCCAGCCAGGAAGTGACCCCTGGGACACCATTGAGTGGGGCAACGAGCCCTCTACTCTACGTCGCACCGTCTACGGGCCTGCCCCCGAGCCGCGCGAACCAACTTTCTTCTCGGGAACTATCCCCGGAACCAACATTCCCCTCTCCACCATTCTTGACAGGGAATTTCTTGTGCTAATGCTGACGACGACGAACGGAGACGATGAAGCTGAAGAAACAGCGGCGGAACCTGCCCAAGCACCTGACGAGGACCCCGCAGAAGCACACACGCGCTACATGCGAACCTCTGGATTCCGCGCCTACGATGCCATCTGGCACCAGCGCCTTGGTCACCCCTCTCGCGTAACGCTGAAGAACTGCATCGAGGCCAGCGTGATTGCGCCTGGCGCACTCCTGCGCCCTGATGGCACTGAAGTAAGGGGCGCGACACATCCGTACAACTACACTGTCTGCCCCGAAGCCGTGCTAAGCCACCAACCGTTCCCCCTGCTCGAGCCCGGAACCAACCGCTACGCAAAACTGGAGAAGGTATACAATGACTTCCTCAACGTAGAACACTGCGGAATTAACGATGAGCTGGATACGCTCACCTTCGTCGACGCTGGAACGCGCTACGTGTGGGTTGTAAACGTGGAGGTGCGCAACAGAGCATACGAAGTGTTTCGTCTATGGCGTGCGCACGCGCAGTGGCAATCTGGGGAGAAACTGAAATTTTTGGCAATCTGATGGCGCAGCGGAGTTCAGGAGCAAGGAAATGCAAGATTACCTGGCGCAGAAGGGAATCGAGCACCATGTTTCCGTCCCCTATGCACATCAGCAGCAAGGCATAGCCGAGTGTTATAATCTTAGGCGAGAATGGTTGACTAGGAAAAGGGAAGGGGTACAAGTAGAATGTCGAGAGAAACTTTGTACCCCCTAAGGCTAAACCCACTATAGCCTAGACAACTATAAACACATAAACTAAGCCTAGATATAACTAGGCATATATGTTTGACACACCCCCATAGGCGAAGTGGGGGATAGCCAGAACAAGCAATGGTCACAAGACCAGTCAAGAGAAGAAGCAAAGCAAAGCAAGCTCAGGGTGGATCACAAAGTCACCACACAGTCCGAGCACAAGCAAAGGGCCACAAGGCCAGTTCACATGCAGAGTTATATAAAGAGAACAAACAATACAGTGATCATACCCTAACAAGTGCAAGCATGCAGGTATATAGATAGATCACAGTACAGGCAGAGCTAGGGGCATTCACAAAGGGCAAGTGAAGAGGAGGCTGGAATGTGAGAGGAGAGGAGATAGGAGGCGACTGCTGATGCTGCAGACACACGGGCAACAGGAGCGGCGCGCACTGTGGCTACCGGGGCCGTATCCCCGGACTACAGGAGTAACTGGCTCTGCGGCTAACTCTGAGCGGCAGGAGCAACGGACCCACAGGCGACTGGCGCAGCAGGCTCGCTGGGCTACCGGAGATTGTAGCCTCCGGACTACTGGTGCTGCTGGCGACACAACGGCTACCTCCGCTCAACCTCCCCCATAACTGTCCCACCCCCCTTTCACACACCCCTTGCTGCACCCCTAGCTCCACTCCCACGTCACCCCCCTAGCACCACTCCCTCGGCTCCCACACACCCACCCCCCTCAGCGGCAGCTGCAGCAGTGGGAGACAAAGGTGGAGGAGGAGGAGGGGATGGTTCACACACCCGCCACCCCCATACCCGCCACCCCGCAGTTGCACCCACACCCGCCACCCCCATACCCCCACCCCACTGCTGCACCTGCAGCAGGGGAAGGAAGAAGAAGGGAGGGGGGGGGGGGGGGGGGTTGGGGCGGGGGGGGGGGGGGGGGGTTGTGCATGGCGCGTGCAGAGGGCAGCAAGGGCGCACAGGGCTGCAGGGCAGCAGGACAGCAGGGCGCATAGGGCGCGCAGGGCTGCAGGGCAGCACAGGGCTGCAGATCCCCTCCCCCCACCGCTGCACCCGCAGCAGGGGTGGAGGAGAAAAGGGGGGGGGGGGCTGATGCTGCAACTCCCCTCCCCCCACTGCTGCTGCAGATCCCCTCCCCCCACTGCTGCACCCGCAGCAGGGGTGGAGGAGAAAAAAGGGGGGGGGGGGGGGGGGGGGGGGGCTGATGCTGCAAATCCCCTCCCCCCACTGCTGATGCAGATCCCCTCCCCCCACTGCTGCACCCGCAGCAAGGGTGGAGGAGAAGGGGGGAGGGGGGGGGGGGGGGGGTGGGGGGGGGGGGCTCGTGCTGCAGGTCCCCTCCCCCCACTGCTGCATCCGCAGCAGGGGGATGGCAGATCCCTTCCCCCCCCACTGCGGCACCCGCAGCAGGGGGAGGGAGAGGAGAAAAGGGCGGAGAGGGGGGTGGGGGGGGGGGGGGGGGGGGCTGGTACTGCAGGTCCCCTCCCCCGCCGCATCCGCAGCAGGGGGATGGCAAATCCCCTCCCCCCCACTGCTGTACCCGCAGCAGGGGGAGGTAGGAGAAGGGTGGGGGACCTGGTGCTGCAGATCCCCTCCTGCCTCCCCCTGAACCTCCAAGCTTCCCCCCCCTCTCCCCGCCATCCCCATGGAGGGGGGGGGGGGGGGGGGGCTGGTGCCGCAGATCCCCTCCCCCCCCACTGCTGCACCCGCAGCAGGGGGGAGGTAGGAGAAGGGGCGGTGCAGGAGCCGCTCGGGCGACAGCAGGTTGGCCACACCCGCCACCCCCATACCCTCCCCCCCACTGCTGCACCCGCAGCAGAGAGATGGAGGAGAAGAGGGGGGGCGGGGGGCGGGGGGGGGGGGGGGGGGGGGGGGGGCAGGTGCTGCAGGTCCCCTCCCCCCCTCTGCTGCTCCCGCAGCAGGGGGAGGTAGGAGAAAGGTGGGGGACCTGGTGCTGCAGATCCCCTCCTGCCTCCCCCTGAACCTCCAAGTTTCCTCCCCCTCTCCCCGCCATCCCCATGGAGGGGGGGGGAGGGGGGGGAGGGGGGCGGGGGCGGAGCTGCGCGTGCGACTGAAGGGCACGCGGGCAGGAGGAACCCCCCCTTGCCACCCCCTCACCCACCATGGCGCAACAGGGCACCGGGGCCGCGGTTAGGGGCGGCAGGTCGCGAGGGGCCATGGCTAGGGGCGACGGGGCCATGGCTAGGGGCGACGGGGCCGGGCGCTGGGCAGGTACGGGGCCGGGCGCTGGGCAGGAACGGGGCCGGGCGCTGGGCAGGTACGGGGCCGGCCGCTGGGCAGGTACGGGGCCAGGCGCTGAGCAGGGACTGGGCCGGGCGCTGGGCAGGTACGTGGCCGGGCGCTGGGCAGGAATGGGGCCAGGCGCTGGGCAGGGACTGGGCCGGGCGCTGGGCAGGTACGGGGCCAAGCGCTGGGCAGGTACTGGGCCGGTCGCTGGGCAGGTATGGGGCCGGGCGCTGGGCAGGTACGGGGCCTGGCGCTGGGCAGGTACGGGGCCGGGCGCTGGGCAGGTACGGGGCCGGGCGCTGGGCAGGTACGGGGCCGGGCGCTGGGCAGGTACGGGGCCGGGCGCTGGGCGCGGAATGGGGCCGGGCGCGGGGCTAGGTACGGGGCCGGGCGCGGGCAAGAGACGGGGCCAGGCGCGGGCTTGGTACGGGCCGGGCGCGGGCTAGGTACGGGGCCAGGCGCGGGCGAGGTACGGGCCGGGCGCGGGGCTAGGAACGGGGCCGAGCGCGGGCTAGGTACGGGCCGGGCGCGAGGCTAGGTACGGGCCGGGCGACGGGCTAGGTACGGGCCGGGCGTCGGGCTAGGTATGGGCCGGGCGCGGGCAGGAGACAGGGCCGGGCGACAGGCTAGGTACGGGCCGGGCGACGGGCTAGGTACGGGCCGGGCGCGGGCGACGAAGTCGACGGGGCCAGCGGGGCCGAGGCGACGGGGCCAAGGGGCCGAGCCTAGGGGCTAGGGGCGACGCCAAGGGGCGACGGGCCGGGGCCTAGGCTAGCAGGGCAGTAGGTGGTGGGCCCATTAGCATTAGGTCCTAGGACTAATTGCTCTTAATACCATGTTATAATCTTAGGCGAGAATGGTTGACTAAGAAAAGGGAAGGGGTACAAGTAGAATGTCGAGAGAAACTTTGTACCCCCTAAGGCTAAACCCACTATAGCCTAGACAACTATAAACACATAAACTAAGCCTAGATATAACTAGGCATATATGTTTGACACCGAGCGCAAGAATCGTACGCTCATGACAAAGGTGCGGGCGCTGATGAAGCAATCGAAGCTTCTGCCAACTTACTGGACCTACGCAATGCACCGTGCCGTGCAAGTGCACAACCTGCTATCAACCACGGCCATCACCGACAACTCATCACCGCATGTGAAGTGGACAGGGACCAAGAGCAACACATCAATGCTCCGCGTGTGGGGGTGCATGGTGCAGTACCGCCCGCCAACATCAACCATCGGGAAGTTTGCAAGCCGTGGGGTTCACCTCGGCATCAGCCACGAACACAAGGCGTGGCTCATCCTGGATCTCATGAGCCAGAAGGCGAAAAACGCGCGTGACGTCATCTTCTACGAGCGGCTCTTCCTTCAGCAATTTCGCGAAGACGAGCAGGCGAACGCGGATCGCGTCTACGCCAATAACGGACATAGCTACGCTTCACCTGAGGACGAAGTTGCAGCAACCATTCTGGAGCAGGACCCCAGAGGCGAGTTCACAAGAGGCGATCGCGACGACGAAGACGACGATGATTCTCCTGGAGGAGGAGCAGGCGCAGCAGGCGGAGGCGGAAGCGGAAGCGGCGGAGGCGTAGCACCGCCAGCACCACCTGAACCAGAAAGCGACGATGACGATGTGCAGGAAGTCATTCCGTAGCACCGCCACGACAGCACCGTTTCGGGACTTCAACTTCTCGGGCTCCACACTGCCACCTCAATGGCGCCACGTGTCATCGAGCCGAAGAATCTGCGCCAAGCACTCACGGGACCACACAGCAAGGAGTGGCGCAAGGAAATCAAGGCACTTGAGTCTCGCGACACCTGGGTGCTCGTCGATCGAGCGGCAATCAAGGGGAGAAGGATTCTCTCCGGAAAATGGGTGTTCCGCGTGAAGACCGCAGCGGATGGCACGATTGAACGATTCAAGGCGCGATGGGTCGTACGTGGCTACGACCAGAGGCACGGCATCGACTTCGACCAGACGTTTGCACCGGTCAGCCGTCACACCTCCGTCAGAATCCTCCTCGCCATCGCTGCCGCACGACATCTCCCGCTCCCACAGATTGATGTGAAGAACGCGTTCCTCTACGCCTTAGTAGATGATGTAATCTACGTGGAGCAGCCGCATACATACGGTGAGGGAGACTCACGCGTGTGCCAGCTGCGAAAGTCCCTTTACGAGATTAAACAAGCGCCAAGACTCTGGCAGCAGTACCTGCACAACATCCTGCTCGAGATAGGCTTCAAACAACTGCCTCATGATCCCGGGATGTATCGTTGCGATTTCCGCGGCGAATACATTCTACTCACGGTCTACGTCGACGACCTCCTCTACACATGGTCAAGCAACGAATTGCTTGAGCAGTTCGAGAAGAACCTCACGGGGCACGTCGATATTACCTGCAACCATGACGTGAAGCAATTCCTCGGGCTCAACATCTCGTACTCGCCAGAAGACCCGAAAATGAAGAGTCTGGACAGGGGAGCGTGGGGCAGAGGAAGCAGACGGGACTTGCTTAGACGGATTACAAGAATAGGAGATCAGCATTTTATAACCAAGCGCGAGAAGAGAGGCTCGGAGGAAGCAGGGGAAGAAGGGGAAGAGGGGGAAGAGGGGGAGGCAGAGAAAGCAGAGAAGGCGGAGCAGAGGGAGCAAGCCAAGGAAGCAGAGCAGACAGTGCTGCATGCTCACAGCACGTGGCGAATCCTCTGCCCCACTCTGCGCCGCCCCGTTCTCAAGCGCCTGGAGAATCACCACCATGACAGCATGCACCTGGCCGAGAAACTTCACAGCAGCTCAGACCTGCCCGAGAAACTTCACGGCAGCTCTCACCTGCCCGAGAAACATCATGGCAGGTTGAACCTGTTCAAAAAGCACCATAGCAGCTCGGACCTGCCCGAGAAACATTATGGTGGGTTGCACCTGTTCAAGAAACATCATGACAGCTCGCACCTGCCCGAGAAACATCATGGTGGGTTGCACCTGTTCAAGAAACACCATAGCAGCTCGCACCTGCCCGAAAAACACCATGACAGCTCGGACCTGCCCGAGAAACATCATGGCGGGTTGCACCTGTTCAAGAGACATCATGGCAGCGCACACCTGCCCGAAAAACACCATGACAGCTCGGACCTGCCCGAGAAACATCATGGCGGGTTGCACCTGTTCAAGAAACACCATAGCAGCTCGCACCTGCCCGAGAAACATCATGACAGCTTGCATCTGCCCGAGAAACATCATGACAGCTCGCATCTGCCCGAGAAACATCATGACAGCTCGCATCTGCCCGAGAAACATCATGACAGCTTGCATTTGCCCGAGGACCAGGAGCAGCAGCCGCAGGAGGAGCAGCAGGAGGAGCGGCAGGAGGAGCGGCAGGAGGAGCGGCAGGAGGAGCGGCAGGAGGGGCGGCAGGAGGAGCGGCAGGAGGGGCGGCAGGACAGGCTTTTCCGCAGCCCTGTTCTTGCAACCCGTTCTTCCAACGCTTTGCCAGTTTCCTCTTGGTCCTTTCCTTCCTCTTCCTCTTCTTCTCCCTCTTCCTCTCCTTTGCAATCTCCATCCGCTCTGATTTCAAGCTCTGACCGTCCCTCACCTTCAGCCAAGTCAGATTCGTTATCGTCTAAGGCAGCTCTGTTACCGTTCAAGGCCCGGGACTCCAGCTGGGCGGCATATCAAATCCATCAAAGCAGATCTGATACGAATCTCTGTGACACAGGAGCGTGGAGGCTTATCGCTCCTCCCGAGAGCTATGGGCTTCCGGGGTTGGTCTCTGGCAGGCTGGGGGGGAATGGGAGAGGAGGAGGTGAAGGTGGAGGAGGAGGAGGAGGAAGAAAAAGAGGAGTGGGAGGGGAAGGGAGAGGAGGAGGAGGGGGGGTGAAAGGTGGATCAGCAAGGCACGACCACAGCCACGACTTTGCTTCAATGACAGACTTTCTTCACATTCACGAATTTATTTCGAAGATGAAGCACATTGACTGGCATCACAGTCACGACGCTGCTTCTATGATGAAACACAAGGACTGGCTTCACATCCACGACTTGAAACACTGGCTTCACAATCACGACTTCAGAGACTGGCATCACAGCCACGACTCTGCTTCGATGGTGAAGCACAAGGACTGGCTTCACATTCACGAGTTTTTTTCAATGATGAAGCACCACAAGGACGGGCATCACGGTCACGACTTCAAACACTGGCTTCACAGCCACAAAGACAGTCACAAAGACAGTCACACAGACAGTCACACAGACAGTCACGACGCTGCTTCGATGATGAAGCACAAGGATTGGCTTCACATTCACGACTTTGTTTCCATGATGAAGCACCACACGGATTGGCACCACGGGCATCACGGGCATCACGGGCATCACAGCTCTGGGTCTATTGATCGGCTTGCCATTTCTGCTGATAAGGTTGCAACAGCAGCGGCAGCAGAAGCAGCGGCGGAAACTGTTAATTCGCGATTTGTTCCTGGAGTCACGGCCACAGCTACAGCTGCTGCTGTTGCCGAGAATGGGCATGCTGTGGCAGAAACTGTAGAAGAAACTATTGCGAGAACTGGAGCATGGCCTTTTACGCACCCTGCTGATTCCTCTCCTCCCAGCCACTGTCACTCGCCTTCGAAATTGACTCTACCCCCTGCTTCTAAGTCACCCCGTCCTTCTCTATCCCCTCCTCTCACTCCCTCATCTCCATCCCCTCATCTCCCTCCCTCATCCCCATCACCTCTCACTCCCTCTCATTCCTCCACCGCCTCTCTATCCCCCTCTGCTCGCCTTTCTAACCTAAAATCAGCCAGCGCCACCGCAGCTTCGTCAGACTCACTTTTGAGAGTTCATGAGTCACTTTCAGGCACCCTATCCCCTTCTGCTCGCCTTTCTAACCTGAAATCAGCCAGCGCCACTGCAGCTTCATCAGACTCATTTTTGAGAATCCATGATTCACTTTTGGACACCCTATCCCCCTCTGCTCACCTTTCCAGCCTGAAATCAGCCAGCGCAACTGCAGCATCATCAGAGTCACTTTTGAGAATTCTCAGCAGTGATACTCTATCCCCCTCTGGTCGCCGATCGAGTCTTAAATCATCCAGCACCACCGCAGCTTCTCCAGGACCCGGCAAGCGGGTGTCCTGGAATATTGACCCACATAGCCCATCTGCCTCTAAATCACCGGGTGGACGCGGTTACCGCCCCATGAGACGAAGGGCATCGTGGCATGCAGACATCCGTTCTGCTGGCCTTCGTTCAGCTGTTGACACTACTAGCCCGCTACAAACTTCCACGTTCCGTGCTGCTGTTGGCACCACAAGCTTGCTACAAACTTCCACGTTCCGTGCTTCTGCGGCTGCTCTTGCTGCTGCTCCTCCTCCTGCTGCTGCGGCTGCAGGTGCCATTCGCAGGCCGGCAGGGTCTATTTTTGATAAAATCGCTGGTGAAGCTGCGGAGGCTGGTCAGGGAACAACAGCCCCAGCAGGTGCTGCTGCTGATGCTATTGGTGCTTCTGCTTCTGCTGCTGGTGTTTCTGCTGCTGGTGCTGCTGCTGCTGGTGCTTCTGCTGCTGGTGCTTCTGCTGCTGGTGCTTCTGCTGTTGGTGCTGCCGTAGCTGCTGCTGTACTTTCCCGGACTTCCCATGCTTCCCCACCCACGCCTCGAATGGTTTCCACAAATCCTCCTTTCAGGCCTTCCTTGAACCTTCCTCCTGCTAAGCACCCTGTAAAAAGCCTGAGTTGCGATCGTCTAAGTGGGTTGGAAGCGTCTGAAAGTGGAGAAGCTGGGGGAACTAGAGGAGGAAGAAAGGCACGCCCTGCCTTTGTTGTAGCGCCCTTGCGCAGCATGCACAGGTGGGATGATTACTAGTTGACTCAAAATTCATGCTGCAAGTGGGGAGGCACGAGGGAGGAGAGGGGGGAGAAAGACACGTGCTTCATTTGTGGTGGTGCCCATTCGCAGCTTGCACAGGCGGGATGACTTTTAGTCGACACAAAAGTAATGCTGCAAGTGGGGAGGCGCGAGGGAGGAGAGGAGGGAGAAGAAAGATGCGTGCTCCATTTGTGGCAGTGCCCATCCCATGCGCAGCTTGCACGAGCGGGATGATTTTTCAGTCCACTGAAGAAAGCCGTGCCTGCAAGTGGGGAGAGGAAGCGAGAGCGGGGAGAGGAGAGAGTAAGACATGTCCTCTCTTTGTAGTAGTGCCTACGTGTAGATTGTGTTGGAAACTTAGGCATGTTTTTCAGCCCAACAGATTGCACAAGCGTCACATAGGCAGCGGTACAGCGTTTGGATCCCCTAGTTTTCGCTTTTTGCATGGCGTCATTGGTGCCTGGATCTAGTGGAACCAAGTCTTGTGTGAATGGCTTTTTTTTTTTTATGCTCACGATATTTACAGTCAGTGTTTCTAGAAAGAATCACAAAAGTGAAGAACACATCTCCTGAAGAGAAGAGGTGCCTTTCCAAAAGGACATTGTCCCTAGGAATATACTGCTCTTGCTGGCCGGAATATAGTGGCTAATACGTACGTTCGCTCACATTGCTAATGGGTTACCTTGAGGCGAGTAGATTTTCTGTGGCAGTTCGCATATTCTGTGGCTGATACGTTTACCGTTCACTGCGCTTCGCTCTGTGCGCCATGCTTGGGCGAAAGCAAGGAAACAGGATCAGGCGGCGTTTGGCGAGGTTCGCCAAACAGCCAAACCTCAAGGTACCTCACCTCAGCGTCTCGCAGCTGCTTTGACGGATCATTGATTTGTCTTCGCTGCAGATTGCGGTTCAGTGAAGAGCTGTTTCCTCCTAGAGTTCTCTAGTTTGCTACATCGCGTTGTCATTAAACAAGGTTCAGCCTGCCGTTTCTGTGAATATCGTCTCCACGTATGGTGGACCGTGCACCGCCAGATGCCATGTCACCGGCAGTACCCATCCCAGCAGCAACAGCAGCGCCATCAGCAGATGATTCACCACAAACAGCAGCGCCATCCGCAGATGATTCACCACAAACAGCAGCGCCATCCGCAGATGATTCACCACAAACAGCAGCGCCATCCGCTGCAGCAACAGATGAACCATCAGCAACAGCCACACCTACATCAGTAAGATGTGGAGGGCGTTTTGGGTGGTAAACGGCCTCGTGTCTGTCGTGTATGACGTGCAGATTGTGATTTCTACACACGGTCATAAACGACTAGGGGTATTGCGATTTGTGGGTAGAAAACGGATGGGGGTTGATATCGGCGTTTACCCGCGATTGTTCTGCTACAGTGATCGGGTGGCCATTGCGAATCATTGCCATATTGTTGTTTAGGGTTCCCATTTACGACTGGGTGAGTATCGAGACGTAAACTGGGGGAAGGGTTTTTCAGGGTTGATACCCAGGGTTGTTTACAGCAACATGCGGCTCATAAACCAGTGTTGCTCGCGATTAACCATCACGTTAACAGTCGAGGGCGAAGTTTGAAGAACGGGGTATGTTACCAGTGCGTAACAGTTACGACTTTGTTGCATGTAGTGTATTCGGTAATTATTAAACCCGTATAATAAATAACTCATACAAATTTTGTAACTTTGTAACATGAATTGTAACACCAGTCAGAAATGAATATGGTTACCTGGTTACTATACGCTTGTAACAGACAACTGTTGTTTACCAGTCGATATAAACCAGATGTTTGTATCTCCTCATGTACATTAAATTTTACTGTAAACCGTATTTTCATTAATTAGCAATCAGTACAAAACGATGGCTACAATTAGACACTACACCTACAGAAGACCAGGGCAGAACACACGCTCCCATCCTTCAACCAAAACCCCCACTTTCCCAGAACCCAGCACCAAACCCTTCGGTTCATCGTGCTTGAAACATGCAGGGTTATTCTGCATCGCCTCAAGCAGAGCCGTCACGACCACGTTTGTTTTGGCACGGACGCAGTTGCTGTTTGTGGACGAGACGCCGCCCAGAGAAGGTTGACCCCTCCCCCCCACTCGGAAGCTTTGGATGGGGGCTTCAACCTGCACATATAAAACACAAGCAGCCATTAGACGGTTTGACAAATAAATGTATAGATAACAACCACAGAACAGAAACTTACCACGACACACAGATATGCAACCTGTGGTATCTTCAGGTAGACCAAATTCGAGGTTACACAAGTGAAACCAGCAAGAGCCGCCTTCTCAAAAGCGATGTTGGCAAAGGGAATCCCTTCAGCGTTGACGTGCCAGGCGAACCCGAGTGTAACTGCAAGGAAAACGGTAAGCTCGTTAGCGAGGGATCAGATCACTACACACAGATTGATAGCAGGGAAAGCACGTTAGCAGGG